TTGTCTGAAACACATATGTTCAATCTAGAAAATGATCTTATTATAAAAGAGCTTTTTCCAAATAACCCAATGTCAGAGCAATTATAGTAAAAATGAAAGGAAAAAGTGATTTAAAGTAGTGTTACTTTGATGATAAGCCACAAATTTTATGTTGATGGATACATAAATTATACTATTATACACGAAACATGGCTCTAATGTAACAAGGAGCTCTGGTAGTATAGTGGTTAAGGCATATGGCTGGTAAACAAAAGGCTGGTGGTTTAAACCTACCAAGTGTTCCATGGGAGAAAGATGAGGCAGTCTGCTTTTGTAAAGATTTACACCTTGGAAATCCCATGGGGGCAGTTCTGCTTTGCCTTAAAGGGTTGCCATGAATTGGAATTGACTTGATGGCAATGTTTTTTTTGTTTTTTTCTTTCTCCCTAATGTAATAAGGTTGGGCAATCCTACATCCGTAGTGATTCTGCCTCGGAAACCCAAGGAGGGGTCGCTATGAGTCGTGGCCGACTCGACAGCACATAACAACAACAACAACAACAAATGTAATAAGAGTGGTTTATTAACAAGTGGATAAACTCTTACCTAAGTGAAGGTTTTCTTTTAGTTTCTGAAATTAAAAATCCTAACAATCTTTCATTTCTCAAAGTACTTTTGTAATGCCTAATTTGAACTAGTCTGCAGAACTAGCAAATAAGACACATAGGGAAAAAAAGAAATGTTTCATTGCTTCAGTAAGATTCAATTAGTATTTAAGTGTCAAACATGTATTAAACATGCACCAGGCACTATAAAATGATCCAAATAGAACTACCAATTGAATTACCAATATTAGTCACCAGACTTGGTGTCAGATTAACTGGACCTGAAATAAAACAGAACTGGGCTAATATTGTCGGCTGCATTATTGACTAGAAATTCTGAAAAATCCTCATGCCATCATCTGTTCAACATTTACTTTCTAACCTCCAACAATGTACATGTTGTGAGCTGTTGTGGAGTCAGCCCCCAATTCATGGTAACCCCATGCACACAGAAGGGAATGCTGCCCAATCAGTCCTGTACCATCCCCATGATCAGTTGCTATTATGGTTTCAATTGTGTCCTGCAAAAATATGTGTCAACTTGGCTAGGCCATGATTCTCAGTATTAGGTAATTATGTTCCATTTTGTGATGTGATCTCATTATCTTATGTATTGTAAATCCTAACCTCTATGATGTTAATAAGGCAGGATTTGAGGAAGTTAATGTTAATGAGGGAGCTCCATTCTATAAGAATTAGGTTGTATCCTGAGTCAATCTCTTTTGAGATAATGAAAGAGATTAAACAAGAGAGCAAAGTAACCTCATTATCACAAGAAAGAAAAGGCAAGAGCAATTGCTCCCTTGGGACCTGAAATCCCTGTGTGGTAGACCCAAAAGATTGATGCCAAGACACATGGAGATCTCCAAGGAATGCTGAGCCCAGAGATATGTAAAGGAGAAAAGACCTTCCCTATGAAAAAGACAGCATTCCCTATAGCTTGGGTCTTGAATTTGTAGTTCTAGCCTCCTAAGCTGTAAGAGTAAATTTGTTAAAGCCATTCCCTTGTATTTCTGATACAGTAGCAGTAGGCAACTAAGACAGTTGCAGATACAACCACTGTGATCCATAGGCTTTTCACTGCTGATTTTAGGAAGTAGATTACAAAATCTTTCTTCCTAGTCCATTTTAGGCTGGAAGCTCTGCTGAAACCTGTTCAACCCCATGGCAACACACAAGCCTCCAGTGACAGATGGGTAGTGGCTGTGTGTGAGGTTCACTGGTTGGGAACTGAATCAGAGTTACCCACATGAAAGGCAAGAATGCACCAAACTATGCTCTAGACCCAAAGTGCTTTATAATGTACTCCTTATTACATGAATGGAGCTAAAAGAGTTAGTTTTATTTACACACTCATAAAGCTATACCTAAATAACTGTAACTAAAGAAAATTATCAACCAAATAATATGTGGCAAAACAGAGATTTCCATTAAAACTATTTTTTAATCAATTAATCAACAGACATGTACTATATAATTCTTGGTCTAAATGTTAAACTTTTTTTTCAAATTTAGTTTATAAAGAATCCTATTATTTAAAAGATATTCTTGATTTTTTTTTTAACAATAAATCAAAGTATACTTTCCTCAAATTTTCACTTATTTATAGTGAGTTGACAAACTTTTTAGTAACATGATAAATTACCAGTAAGAATAATTGAACAAATTGCATTGGAATAACAATTTTTCTTATTATTAAATATATTGAAGAGTTAGGTAGAAAGCAATAGCTTAAAAGTTTTAGACTAAATAATTTTATCATGAAAAGCATACCATAAAAACAGATGTTTCTTCCCCTTGTGTATTTCTTCCCTTTGTGTAACAGTAATGAGCTTGTTGCCACTTTTTCTTTTTGATGAGATTAAACACTTTAAGATTTATATTTACTTGTATATCTCTTTCTATTTTAATTTGTGTGGAAAATTATAACAAATTGGTACTTGAAAGTTACTAAAATGTGAATAATCTCACTCTTTACATTTCAACAGGGCTTAATTTAAAGGATTCAAATTAAATCACTGGCAATTTTTATTAAGTTGTAAAGCAGAAGATAAAAAATATAGATAACAATTAAACAAAACTGTATCATATACCTTTGATGTCTTCCCATTTGTATTTGAATATATTTGTATTATTTCTTTCCCTTGTGTTTCATTGTCTTCTGCTTGATCACTTTGTTTCTGGTCTCTTCCTTCTTCTGTAGGACTTATTTTCTGGGATGTTTCTACAATAATTGTTCCCAAATTTTTAGAGGTATGTGCTTCAGTATCACTACTTTAGTAAAAAAAGGGAGGACATAAAACCCAAGTAGTTGAATATACTCTTTTAAGTTCAAGACAAATAATATTATAGCACATACTGTAGTTAAATCTCCAAATTTAATTTGGGCATTTACTGGTTCTCAACAGTAAGAAGAAAATTTAGTCTAAATATATTTTCCAAAATTACAGAATCCCATCAATAGACAAAATAGGTTATTTAATATCAAATGCCCAGTAACATCACTGTGAGAGTACTCCCACCGAAGGTCAACTCAGGAAGTACGTGCCCCAACATTTCGAAGTTTGGAGCACTCACTACTTCCTGACACAGGCCAAAAAGTTCTAACATTTCTAACAAAAAGTATTCCCTTAAGTTATGTGGGACAAAATATGAATCTCTGAGGCCTTGAGACCCATTGATTTCAGCTCCATCCCTTGTGGCCATTTACTATTCAGTAAAATACTTGTTAAACAACTATATGCCAGGCACTGTTCTGGGCACTAGGTATAAGGTAGTGAGTGAATAAAACCAAACTCACTGCCACTGAGTCAATTCCAACCCACAGCAACCCCCACTGGGTTTCCAAGGTGATCAATCTTTATGGAAGTAGACTGCCCCATCTTCCTTCCAAAGAGCCACTGGTGGGCTTGAACTTCTAGCCTTTTGGTTAGCAGTCAAATACCTTTTTCACTGCCCCATCAGACCTCCTTGCAAGTCAATAAAGGGGATACAAATTCCTGCCATCATGTAGATTTCATTCTAATGGTAAAGGGAGATAGGTAATAATAAAAAAGAGGTAAAATATATAGTGTGTTAATAGAGGGCGCTCTCGTGGGTAGTGCCTAAGGCATCTGACTGCTAACCAGAAGGCTGGCAGTTCAAACCCACCAGCCACTCCTTGGTAGGAAGGTTGGGCAATCTACTTCCATAGTGATACTGCCTCAGAAGCCCAACGGAGGGGTCAATATGAGTTGGATCAGACTCGAGGAAAAACTAAAGCAAGGAAGGAGTGTGAATACATTCAACAGCAATGGGTTTTTTGGGGAACATATAAGTCAGTCCAATTCCTCTTCCAAATAAATAATCTTTCAACTATTTGAACATAAATAAATCTGCCTCAAGACTTCGCTAAAAAAAGAATCCCTAGATTTTTTCAATGTCCCAATATGTAAGTTTTTAAGATGTTTCACCATCCTAGTAACACTTGCTCCAGCCTGTCTTAGATTGTTAAGTGCAGAATTAAATTTCATATCCCAAGTGTACTATGGCAAATACTTAGTAGAACTCCCAGCTGACACAGACTAAAACTGTTACCTTTTCTGGTATGTACATTGTACTGCAGACCCATACATAATTTAATTAACCTCCTAAAATATTTGTTTATACACATTGCAAAGTCATATTACTTCTCCCATTTTATAGTTCAATAATTGGCATTTTATAGCCAAACGAAAAGTAGTTTTTTGTAAAACTGTCTTCCCAGTATATTTAGGTTTTTGGGGCTTTTAATTTTGTTTTCTAAAGTATTTGCCCTGCCTTTCAACATCATGTTATCTACAAATCTGATAAACATACTCAGTTGAAAGTCAGATGTACTACATTTAGTGTAATCATATTAAAAAAAGTAATAGGTTAGTCTGATGGGAATTTCCCTTGAAGAACCTATGCTGGCCTTGAGAAATGACTCCTTCCCTTAATAAACGTTTACAAAGTGTTGCTTTATAATGCCCTAGAATTTTATTTAAATATTGATTTTAACATCACCAACTATACCATCAAAGGATAAATGGATACCCAAAGTGTGGTATATACATATAATGAAATATTATTCATCAATAAAGAGAAATGAAATTCTAGTACATGCTATGGCACTGGTGAATGTTGAAAACAGTATTCTCAGTGAAACCTAAACCAGAAAATAAAAAAATATTTTATGCTCTTCTCATGGAAACAGTAGTCAAGAAATCAAATGACATATGGCTTTGGACAAACCTGCAGCAAAAGACCTCTAACAAAGTGTTAAAAAGCAAAGATGTCACTTGGAAGATTAAGATGTACCTGAATCAAGCCATTGTCTTTCAATACTCTCATATGCATGTGAAAGCTAGACAATGAATAAGGAAGACCTGCAGAAGAACTGATGCATTTAAACTGTAGTACTGGGGAAGAATAATGAATATACCTTGGACTGCCAAAATAATGAACAACTCTGTCCTGGAAGAAGTACAGCCAGAATGCTCCTTCGAAGTAAAAATGGCCAGACTTTCTCTCTTGTACTTTGGTCATAATATAAGAGGGACCAGTCTTTGGAAAAAGATATTATGTGTGGTATGTAGAGGGTCAGTGGAAAAAGGGAAGACTCTCAACAAGATGGATTGACACAATGGCTGCAACAATGGACTCAAGCGTAGCAATGACTGTGAGGATAGTATAGGACCAGACAGTGTTTCATTCTGTTGTACACAGAGTCACTATGAGTGGAAACCAACTCAACGACACCTAACAACAACATATGATCTGATTTATATAAAATATCTAGAATAGGCAAATGCATAGAGATAAAAGTTTACTTGTGGTTACCAGGGACTAAGTGCAGGAGGGAATGGGAATTACTGCTGAATGTTTCTATTTGGGGTATGTAAGTTTCTATTTAGGGTATAGTCAAACTGTTGGAAATGAATAGTGATAATGGTAGCACAGTATGATCAATGTAATTAATGCCACATATTTGAACAATTAAAAATCATTAAAATGGAAATATTTTTCTTATATATATATTTATCAAAATTACATTGAATAAATAAATAAAATCACCGCTGAAAAGTTATCCCGAGAGTTCCGTAAGATGGTGGAATGGGCACGAAAACTACAAATACCCTCTACAACAAAGAAAAGGGGAAGCAATTAACACAGACACAGAACATAATCCTGGAGCCCTGAGCTTTGAAAGGAAAGATACAGAAGTGGACTAAACTCCAACTAGAAGCAGCAGCAGCATGAAAACACCAAAAAAGGAGACACATGGAGCTGCAGTCTGTCAGTGAAACTGACAGCAGGGACAGCTTGGAATTAGCCAAGTGGTGTTAGGACCTAAGAATTAACATAAAAATTGGCCCTGCTAGCCAGTGGCTGTATAGTGGAGTTCAATGGTGGCTGGTGAATGAAAGGTGAAGCAGCAAAGAAGGAGAGCGGATGAGCTTTGGAATTTTGGCTGTATGGAGAGCTCACCATTTTAATGTTTCCAAGTAGTCTGCCCATTTTGGATATTTAAAGCAAAAGCACTCTCTCAGATTCCAGGGACCTGTGGTGGTTATATTTGTGTGTCAACTTGGCTGGGCCTGGTTGAGTGGCTGGACAGCTGGTGGTAGTTATTCCCCATGATGAGACTGGCAATCAACTCCATGGTGGGAT